TGACTTCTCCATGGAAACTCTAAAAGCCAGAAGGTCCTGGATAGTTCTATAAACACTGAGTCCACAGATGCCAGCTCAGACTACTATATCTAGCAAACTCTCAATCACTACAGATGGGGAACCAAGATATTTCATGACAAAAGCAGATATACACAATACATATCCACAAATCCAGCCATACAGAATGTTCTAGAAGGAAAACGCTAACACAAGGAAGTGTACTACACTCACAAAATCATAGGCAATAGATAATCCCACTTTACCAAAGCTCCCCACCCCCACAAAAAAAAGCTGGGCAAATATACCTTCAATACCATTGACAAGAACAAATCCAAAACAAACAAGAATTAACAATTAATTGTCCTCATTTTCCCTCAGTATCAATGGTCTGAGCACACCTATAAAATGGCACAGGTTACCAGAACAGATACAAAGATAGATCCCATCCTTCTGCTGCATACAAGAAACACACCTCAGCTTCAAAGAGAGGCACTACCACAGAGTAAAGAATTGAGAAAATATATTCCAATGAAATGGACCCATAAAGCAAACATGTGTAGCTATGCTAATATCTAACAAATTAGACTTCAATCCAATATGGTACATTTACACAATGGAGTACTAGTCAGTGGAAAAGAAAAAACAAATACAAAAACAAACAAACAAAAACGAAATCTTCTAATTCGAAGACAAATGGATGGAAGTAGAAGAAACATTCCTGATTGAGGCAACCCAGAAATAAAAAGGCAAATATTGTATGCATTCACTCATATATGGAATTTAGACATAGAGTAAATGTTAAGTAGCCTATAATCTACACTCCCAGTGAAGCCAGGAAATAAGTAGGACCCTAAGAGTAAAGAAGGTAAGAGAGGGAGAAGAGGAAGAGGAGAACATGAGGAAGCAGTAAAATTGATCTGGAGGAATAAAAAAAAAAAAAAAACAAGAAGGGAAGTACCACGGTAGAGGGGCCATTATAGGTTTAAAGAGAAATCTGGCACTAAGGAAATGTCCAGAGATCTACAAGGATGACCGCAAATAACAATCTAAGCAATAGTGGAGATGCTACCTTGAAAGCCCTTCCCCGATAATGAGATTGATGTCTATCTTACATGCCATCCTAGAGCCCTCAGCCAGTAGCTGATAGAAACAGAAGCATAAATACACAGATGAAAAGTGAGTTGAACTCCTGGAAACCAGCTGCAGAGAGTGAGGCTTGATGGGCAAAGAAAACAAGACCAGATTCCACAGAAACTTGACTTGATTTCACAGCTGACTTGAAAAAAGGGGAGCTCATGGAACCCAGACTGATTTCTGGGCAACCTGCAAAGCATGTAACCAGACCCCCTGAACATGGGTATAAGTTAGAGAGCCTGTGAAATGTATGGTACTTCTGACAGTGGAACCGGATGTATCCCTTTTGCTGTAACAGTTCTTCATGGAGTGATACTAACTTAGACTAGACACAGGGGATGGCCTAGACTATACCCCAAATGATTTGAATAACTTTGATGGTCTCTCATTGAGGGCCTTACTCTCCATGGGGAATGGATGAGGGCTTAGATGGGGGATGTGTTCTGGGGGTCATTGGAGGATAGGAGGCAGAGGGAACTGGGATTGATATGTAAAATTAGAAAAAAAAATAGTAAAAATAAAAATAAGAAAACCTACAAATGGTACAGGGAATATATCTGTCCACTCCCATTAAGTAAACAGGCATGTAGTTATGAATGAGGCTCTGTGATGACGCCACAGTGACAGTTACAAACACAGAAGACACCAGAGTCACAAACATCCAGTCTCTTGTCCTGTGTGAGGTGTGGAAACATCTAACAAAAATTCTCTAAGCTATATCATTGATTATTTCACATCTGTGTCCACTCAGGCCAAAAATTAATATCACAAAAGAAATTAAGTCACATGTGTTAGGTGAGCTCAATATCTCTTTGTGGCTACTTCTAGATGCTCGTAGAAGACCATGAGTCTCAAATGATACAAGATTTCACCTATGCTTATGTGATCCACATGCCAGTAGCAGAAGCAAACAAAAACACGATTTAAAGCATAACCTGAAATTACAGAAAATTAAGTAATTCTGAAGTCTCATGTTCCAAGTCTAAACCCTGGAGTGGCTCTGAGACAGGACATTTTTTTTTGGATACAGGGACCAGCAGTCGGGAGTTACATCAGGGGGAGCCAAAGATCCATGGTTTCAACTGTATCCCTGAGCAGGTGCACAGAAGGGCAGAGAGCATTTCCGGAGAGCCCTGGCTTCCTCTCCCAGCCCTGTGCAGAAGAACCTGCAGGAACCTGGAAGCTGGCAGTTGCTGACTTCTTTGACAATAGCATTTTGTTTCAAGAGCATGGGCTGTGCAGTATAAATGTGTGGTTTATTGAAGAAACCATCCTGAATGAGGTAACCCAGTCACAAAAAGAGAAACACAGTATGTACTCACTCATATATGGATTTTAGAACTAGATCAAATGATCACCAGCCTATAATTCACATCACCAGAGGAACTAGGATACAAGTTGTATTCTAAGAGATTCATATAAAGTCCCTCACAGAACTGGGAAGGGACAAGTCCCCCAGACCTCAGGTAAAGTGGGGGAGGACAGCTAATGGAGAGAGAAGTAGGAGAAAATGAGAGGGAGGAGAGGAAGGCATGTGCGACCAGGAGGATTGAGCCTGGTTAGGAATGGAAAATAGGAGAGAGAGAGAGAGAGAGAGAGAGAGAGAGAGAGAGAGAGAGAGAGACAGAGAGACAGAGAGAGAGACAGAGACAGAGAGAGAGAACATAAAAGAGGGAGCCAATATTGGTTTGAAGATAAAGTTGAACACAAAGAAAGGTCGAGGGAACTACAAGACTGCTCCCAACTAACAATCTCAGCTTCTGTGGAAAGGCTATCATAAATGCCCTTCCCGGAGAGTGACATCAACAACTAACTTCTCCATGGAGTCCTCAACTAATGCCTGTTGAAAACAGGAGCAAACACCCATACATAAACACTGAGTCGAACTAGAACCCAGAAGCAGATGGAGAGGACAAGACCATGCGGTAGAAGTACATAGAGACAGCTTACCTGAACAAGGAGGAGCTAAGGGCCACTAGACTGATAGCTGGGAAGCCAACAGGGGTCTGACTCGGACCCCCCTGAATATGGGTCTCAGCCAGAAGGTCTGAGCAGTCTAAGAGACCTCAGACAGTGGAGCCAGGATGTATCCCTGGTGCACAAAAGGACTTTGCAAACATATCCCCCATGGAGGGATACCTGCCTTATTCTAGAGATAGGAGAGAAGCCCTAGTCCCTACTTCACAGGACCTGTCAGATCTACATGACCCCAACTGGATGGCATTCCCCTACATATGGTATTGTGGTGGGGGGTTGGGAGGGGAGGGTGTTTAGAGTGCATGGGAGAGGGTAGAGAGTGTAAAAGGGAGGGAAGGAGGGAGGGAGGGCTGAAGGGGAGGGAGGGAGGAAGAGGGAACTGGGATCGACATGTAAAATAATAAATTAAAAAAAAAAAAAAAAAAAAAACGCTTTGACTCCAAAATTTAAGTTGAAGAACAAGTTACTGGGGAAAAGTATTTCTATTTTTGTTTCCACAGAAAATGAAAAGATGTGGATTCCTTGCAGACTAATGTGGTTTGATCACACCAGACCGCCTGAAACAGAGTACAAGCTGATCCTACATTCCAAACAGCTGGACAAAACAGCCCTACAGAATACAGCTAGGATATCTGAATCTTCTTCGAATCCCCCAAGACAGCGCCCCTTACCAGCAGGAAGTAGTTTGGAAAGAACGACGTCCAAATTCCCAAATATTGTGTATAAATGTTTGTTTTCATTTAATTGGACTTTGTTATATAAAATTAAATAAAAAAATAAAAATAAATAAAAAAAAATAAATGTGTGGTTTATGTGCACAGCAGTCTGGTACACTTCTCTTGCATTTCCTGTCTAACTCACACTGATTTTGTTTGTTATACTTGTCTGTTCATAGTCAGTCATCACTATCAGCACAGACTTCCATCCATATTCAAACAACTGCTCACTTTAAGTCAGATGCCAGACATCCTTAGTATCTCTCCCACGTTAGCTGCCTGTTCATAATTCTGCTTCTGATGACTCCAGGCATTGTATGATATAAAGTCGATACACAGTAGCCCCTTGTTTCTCTTCACAAGCATCAAATGAGGAAGTAGATAGAATCAGGTTCTATTATTGTCAAGCAGTCTTGCAAAGTTTGAGTCTCAGCAGTACTGAGATGAAAGTGAGCATAGGCTTGACATGAGTTTCAAATTATCTGGAACATATAGTCTGTTCTTCACTGCTTTTAGTACAATAATTTAAAATTTTTATAGTAATGTAAATTTTATAGTAATGTAAATACATAAGTTCCTTCAAATCTCCCCTTGTACATTTTACACATTTTAATATTTATTACAAGACTTATGTAAAAGGAGAGCACAGATTTCATAATTGTTAGTGCATATATACCTTATTTCTAGTCGCTTCATCAATAATGTTTAGGCACTGATATGGCAGTACAGAGGACCATAAGATTTCTAGAATAGCACATTTGGATGCAGTTGTCAAGGAAGGACTAAAACAGAGTCTCAGGAAAGGTTAAAGTTACTGACTCTCAGTAGGACAGGCTTATGGGGAACAGAAGATAAAAGGCCACTGTTGCCACGTTACCTGGCACCCAGTAGTGAGACTGTGTGGTACACAGGTCTGAAGTCAGTGTGCAGATTCAGTTCAAGCAGAGGCCTTGGGGGACGACACAATCAGTGTGAAAACAGACACCAGACCCTGAAAGACATGGTGTTACCCAGCAGAAGTCTTGGAACCTTGTATAGTAGATTTACATTTGATTTTCTCACTAGGTGTTCTTATTCAAATGAGCCCTATGCAAAGCCTTCAGAGTAGAAATCAGAGGCTCATATCCCTCACCCAGCAAGGGAGTGACTGATTAGTTGGAGGAAACTACAGTGTCCAAACTCATACAGCATGCAGTGGGTGTGGAGGCTCTTTTTCCTGCTGGCAGCTGCCCAAAGTAAGACATCAGAGCCCAGAGCTGCAGAGTATTCTGAGGCAGATCCATGGTCTCTCACATCCCTGTGTTCTCTCCCCAGGTGTCCAAACACAGATCCAGCTGGTGCAGTCAGGACCTGAGCTGAAGCAGCCTGGACAGTCAGTGAAGATCTCCTGCAAGGCGTCAGGGTATACCTTCACAGATTATTCAATGCACTGGGTGAAACAGGCTCCAGGACAGGGTCTAAAGTGGATGGGCTGGATCGATACCAACACTGGGAATCCAACATATGCTGACGACTTCAAAGGACGGTTTGTCTTCTCTTTGGACACCTCTATCAGCACTGCCTATCTGCAGATCAGCAGCCTCAAGAATGATGATACAGCCATGTATTACTGTGCGAGACACAGTGTGAAAAACCACATCCTGAGGGTGTCAGAAACTCTGAGGGAAGGTGGCTCTTCTCTGCCAAGACAGCAACGGGGAATATATCCTGACCTCTTCCTTGGACTAGGTTTGTGATGTCACTGATTAGACACACAGGAAAATTGATCTCTTTTCTTTCATTGATTGCTCATAGTTCTGTGTTGACAATGAGGCCCCATGAATAGAAGATGGCATGTTGTGTAGCATCATTAACTTGCTATAAAACCTACAGGTATTATAAGACATCCCATATAAATGCAGTAAACTTTTAATAAACAACCATGAAATGTTGTGTTAAAACAGTAATCTCCGTCTCTATCAAATTGTCAGAAAATTACACAGTCCAGTGAATTATATGCTTACAAATGAGAGTGCAAGGATGGAGAAATTGCTGGCCTGCAGAGAAGCTAGTGTTGACAACAAAAATCCACAGACACCTGTGCCTTCATTAGGTCTGCTTAGGAGTCTCACGATGAATGTTTGTTTTTGAACATAAAACTCACACGTATATAAAGAACTGTATATTTACAGGTGCCCAAATATATGATAGAATGTAATGCAAAAACACACAAACACAAAAGTATAATATTTTCAGAAATCATCCATGGAAAAATAACAAGAAGGAAATTCACAAGAGTAAACTTAAAAAGAAAATCTTGTGGTAGTGAAAACTGAATTTGAGTCTTGAATCTCTATTTTCAGCTCTGGTAGATTAGATATATTTGTCATGACCCGAGGTGTCAGTCTTCAACTTCACTGAAAGTTTCCAGTTGAAATCTTAGTGAATATTCCCATCTTTCTAGTATTTAGATTCAGGTGACTTTATTATACTTCCCATTACTATCTCAGTTGTTGTACATCATGATTTTCTTATAGTTTCAATAGTCCACCTCAAAAGTTCATTATTTGCCTGCAGATAAAAATGCCCCTATTGTGATTATATATACACCCCAGTATCTTAAATTCTTTGTCTATTTTCAGTCTTTTCTCTATTGTGTTATTTTGCTGTAGAAAAGTTCTGAAATCGTGAAACAGAAACAAGGAAATCCACCTCAAGTTTCCCATTTCCATAGAAACATTGCGATAGTTACCTTGTCCTTACTATGTGAGATATGAAGTGAATTATCTGAAGAATTCTATTTATCTAAAGGAAACATTTGTGCTGACAATGGTGACATCACTCATGCAAGGCATCAGTTGTTCCCTTTCCCCGAGATAACTCTGCATATAGGGTGCTTGCTGCGTCATCAGGCAACTCTCCTATCTTTCTGGATCTAACTTCCCCAGCTCGGTATCCTCTTATTTCACGTTCCTAAGGTTTTCAGATATTTTGATGGATTTTCCATATATAAACCAAGTGGAAAATAGCTGTGGAAGAGCATAGCAGACTCTCAGGTATAAGAGCATGATTGGATCACTCTGTGTACACACGTGTAACACTAATCCCTGAAAATGTGTTATGTATCAGTGTGCAGATGTCCTTGATTTGGTGTAAACAACAGGGTTATCAGTCAGATGCATTTCACTCCACTCCCATAAATTTTCTTTCTTTTCTGGATGAAGTGTTTCTAGTGTTTCATGAAACTTGATTTTAAACGTTTGTGTGTAAATTCAATTGATTACATATCAAGACGTGCTAAAAGTTGGATTGCTGAAGTCAACATACAGAATACATGCTCTACATTGTAGATGATTTTGTTTGCAAGATATTGCTTCCTACAATTGCAGAAATATGCTATTCCCTCCCTTCTTCCTCATGAAATCTGAACCAAGAGCATAGGTACTAAAAGATTCTCCCCTTGTTTCAGAACCTAAAGAAGTATGAGTTACTTGGAACAAAAATTATAGCTGTCTGGAGGGCCTTGGTTCAGGGAAAAGATAGTATAAGGACTGATTTATCAGCTGCACACTCATATCAACTTTATCACATTTCTTACACACCACGTGGGGTATTTTAAATTCATATAAATCATGTTTCAATTCTCTTGGCTTACATTGAACAACCTACAAAACAACCAGTGGGAGAGAAAATTAAGTGTACGTACAGAAATATTCAATAGAGTTTTATGAGTGTGATCTCATGTGTCTGATTGAAACTGAAATAAAATACTATACATACTACTACAAATTTCACTTTTTTAATCAGCCGATATCTGTATGATATGTTCACCTATTTCTCGTATCCATTTTATAAGAGTTATTCAAAATTGCATTTTCTGGTTTTTGGCAAATGATTATCCTGCACACATACAAATATATAACATCTTAGTCTCGTATTGAAAGAATGGGTAAGCATGTAACTTTCTTATTAGGGCTTACATTGTCTAAGGTTGTAAAAGTTTATTACATGGGAAATCCAGAGTAAGTAAGATTGGTTATTACATTGTTCTCATAAAGTCAAGCTAAAGAAAAGGGCTGAGAAAATAGTAAGAAAAGAGTATTACATCATAAGTGATATTAAATGAACTATTCACACTGCTGTGAGTTCTAACAAAGTTTCAGTCTCTTAGACTAAAAGAGACATTGATTATCATAAAGTCCTGTCACATAAGTATAATTTCTAAGGTTGGTTGTGATGATTTGAATAAAACTAGCCCCCGTTGGCTTATTGGCAGTAACACTGATAGGAACAGTGACCATGTCAGAGTAGGTGTGGCTGTGCTGAAGGAAGTGTATCATAAGGGGGTGGGCATTGAGTTCTATACTCACTTCCTGCTGCCTGTTCTTCAGATGTAGAACCCTAGCTCTTTCTTCATCATATCTGCTGTGGCGCGCCCCTGACCCGCAGGGGAAGAAGACCACCGACACGAGGATCCTTCTCTGATCACACTTTATTGAAGCACTTCTTGATTGAGGGAGAGCTGGAGATGAGGGGCACGCAAGCAAGGAAGGGAGCGGCTTATATCTAGGCAGGATGGGCGTTCCTTCCTGAAAGGACACCAGTCAGTCTGGGATTGGTGCATAGCTGTTGCCAGGCAGACTCGAGGAGGGCACGCGCCAAAAACAGGGTTGTTTACAACAATCCTCGGCGCCATCTTGTAATGGCGAATTGTGTGGGTTCCCACACTTCCCCCTTTTATTTTATTAACGCATCATCGGTCATAGCTGGGAACAGAGGATGCCGCCCTGTCGAGTGCGCCGCTCTTTTTCCAGGGATAGGACGATTACGAGGGCAACCTATATGCTCGACATCTTGTTCCCCTGAGTGGATAGGCTCAGTGCACTCTCAGGTGCAAACTATCCGGAATAGTCTCTGACCGACTGCTTCAACAGCCATCTAGCCCTACCGGGTGCTATGGCAACAAGGCCTCCGGGTGCATAGGCACTAGACTTCATCGGCCATCTAGTCCCACCGGGTACAATGGCAACAAGGCCTCCGGGTGCATGGGCACTAGACTAGAGATCTTGAAAAATACTGATCCAAGCTTGGGGAGATTGGCCGGCCTCCAGGGCTGTCAAGGCTCGAGCAATAGCAACCTTTTCCCTTTTTCTGACGAATCGCATCCTACAGATCAGGAACAGGACTAAAGTCATGCCTGCCAGGCAAAACATGCCGAACATACCGACTCCGATCCATTCCTTAAAATAGGAAAATGTCTTCACCATCCAATCTGAAAATTGTCCCAAGGTGACTAACTCGACCTTAGTATCATTAAGCACTTGAATGCGATAGGTAAAATTAGCTTGAAGCTGTTCAAATTCTCTAGACCAATTTCCACTTAAAATGCAAGATAGCTGTTTAGACTCATTAAGGGAGGCGGGATAAGGTGTAATGCAAATGTGCGGGGTTCTATCCACACAACTCACTGTCATAATATCAAAAAGATCTTGTATGTTCCCTTCCAATAAGTCTATCCTCTTATTGAGCATAAGTATTCCTGAAGCCAAGTGAGTATTTACCTTCTCTTGAACATAAAGAGCACTAGAAGTTTTTTGTATCACCTCATTAACTTGTTGAACGGTCTGTACTTGATTTGCCATAGCTACTCCGGCAGTAACCGCAGTGGCTGCAGAGACGGCTATAGCCGTAACTATGGCTGCTCTAATACCAAAGTCCCTTTTTTGTCTGAACAGAGTGGCTATAGGAAAATTGTTTGGGTCTGCCTTTACAGGAATAGGTACAAAAATTGGCAGACGCATAACCAATGCTGAGTTATAATATTCAGCACCCCAGCATTGACTGATGACACAAGTCTGATTCTCACAATCAACCAAGTCCTGAGAATAATTAAAAAGCAAAAACAAAAATGGTGGATCTACACATACCCTGCCTCTGGGATAGGAAATATCATGTTGTTTGTGTGCCCATGATACTGTAAGCTTCTTGTTGGTGGTGTTCAGACTTCCAGTTACATTGTTAAGTTCCACTTTACTATCCTCTAGATTAACTAATGGCGAGAGGTCACAAGCAGCACCCTTGGAATTAATGAGGATCCAGGACGATAAGGGCCAACCCGTTTTTGGGGAATTATTCTTATATTGATATCTCATCAAATCTGGCGTAAACCAAAGTCCTGATGAGATGGGAACTATTTTATCATATTTTCCTCTACAATCAAGAAATTCAGGCGGATATTCAGAAAACACATTGGGACAAAGATGTGTGGGCTTAGATCCGTTGTATGACCCATAGCTATTATGCCTACTAATTTGTGGGGCAATAAAAGTCATATTCATCCAATATGTAGTGACATTAATCACCGGGCTGCCATTAGTTCCGGTACCTGAGCCACTCAAAGCGCCTGATGCTATTTGAGACAATGCTTCATGCAACATCTTTACCTCTAAATCTAGGGTCAAGGATCTTAATGGGTCTTCAAATGCTGACAACACCTGTCTTTGCACAAGGACACAAGGGGACGCATTGGTATCTTTAGAAAAACAGAGCGTCCCTTGCAGGGGCACTCGAGATTGAATAAACGTCTGTTGTTCCTCATTAACTTTGTCTTTCGCTTTGCAGGGGACCCCAAAATGGCAAAGGGTAGAATAGAACTGAGGGAAGATTGGGGATACATTATGTACAGGCACAGGTATTGGCCATGTTCGGGTAAATGACCAAAAATATTCTTCATTGGCATGGGTCAGATGGATTAGTAACCACAGCATCATCCTTTTCCTCCAGAATATCGTCAGTGCTGACATCCTTCTCCTCTTCATTGTCGATTTTTCGAATCAGCCTCTCCGGAACCCAAATTGGATCCGTACGGTCCTGCGGAAAAACACAAACAGATCCCCTGGATCTCTGAATAACAGGATCCGGTCCATACCATTTGTTATCCAATACATCTTTCCACATAACCTGTACTTGTGGAACCGAGACTGATTGTGCATGTCTATCAGCAGCAGTCTGATTTGAGTCATTAAAAATCAAAAAATTAAGTGTAAAGAGAACTAAGGATATTCTTTCTCGTGGGGTAGCATGTTCTGCTATTCCCCCTTTTTGTTTTTGTAGCAATTCCTTAATTGTCCTGTTGGCTCTCTCAACAACACCTTGCCCCTGGGGGTTATATGGCAATCCCAGGGTATGGGAAACTTCAAGGCGAGCACAGAACTCTTGGAAGCCATGAGAGGTGTAAGCTGGACCATTGTCCGTTTTTATTCTGTGTGGCTTGCCCCATGCTGCCCAGGCTTCAAGGCAGTGGGTTCTCACATGAGAAACCTTCTCTCCTAATAATGGCGTGGCATGTATAATGCCCGAACATGTGTCTACTGACACATGGAGATATTTAGATTTTCCAAATTCAGGTACATGTGTAACATCCATTTGCCATAGGGATAGTGGTTTTAGGCCCTTAGGATTTACGCCAATATGCGGTGGATGATGAAAAGGAACACATGACATGCAATTTTTCACTATATCTCTTACCGTGCTCCGAGAAATATGAAACTTTAACCTTAAGGTATTAGCGGGAACATTGTATAAGCGATGAAATTGTTTTGCGGATTCCAAAGGATCCTTGGTCCCGGGAGTAAGGAATGGGCCCGAATGTGTCCTATATAGAAGGGATGTTTTCTATTTAAAATACAATTTTGAATTTGTACCAAAATAGGTGCTACCATACTCGATGAATGAATATTAGCAGCAACCTCCAAATTGGCAACCACATTAACCACATATAATGAATCTGAGAACAAGTTAAAAGGTTCATCAAATCTTTCAAAAATCTTTAAAACCATTTGACATTCCACCACTTGAGGTGCATCAGGGTGAAAATTATAAACTACAGGTTCTTGTCCTTGAACTGCATAAGCTCCATTGCCTGTTTTGACCCATCAGAGAATATAGTAATGGCAGTCACCAAGGGCGTAGTGGAGGTTATTTTAGGAAAATAAACTAAATCTTTATTAACAAATGATAATAAATCACTCTTAGGATAATGATTATCTATTATACCAGAAAAGGCACACATTAAAATTGCCCAATCATCTATTATTCCTGCAAGTACTTCAACCTGTTGCCTGGTATAGGGGACAATTAAAACATCTGGATTTTTTGCAAAATGCATGAGGCTAAATTTTAACCCTGTCAATGCTTGGATAGCCACCAAAGTAGGGTAATGTTGTACTGTCTTTGCTCCAAGTGAGTGACCATGAAGCCCCCAAAGAGGACCTTCCTGCCACAATACACCTGTGGGATAAGTTTGTGTTTTTAAGATGCATAATTTCAAAGGCTTTCCTGGATCCAATCTATCTAGACTTGCCTTTTCAATAGCAGCTTCAACTTTATGAATTGCAACTTCACCTAGGGGGGTAAGTGTCCGGGGGGAATTAACATCTGGATTGCCTTCTAAGATGGAAAATAAGGGCTGAAGCTCATGGCGGGAAATAGACAAATATCCCCACAACCAATTAATATCCCCCAATAATTGTTGAAAATCATTCAGGGTTTTCAGGTGTGAAGTTCTAATGCAGACCTTTTGCGGTCTTACCTGAAGAGGATGGATGGATGCTCCCAGAAACTTAATCACATTAGATTGCTGTACCTTATCAGGGGAAATAAACAACCCTTTTGATTCCAGGGTTTTTACAAGAGCAATATAAGCATTATCAAGAATCTGTTGAGAGGATGCTGTCATTAAAATATCATCCATATAATGGACGAATCTAACAGTAGGATGGCTATTCCTTACTGGTTGAAGAACTGCATCCACATACAATTGGCACATAGTAGGGCTATTAGCCATTCCCTGTGATAAAACTTTCCATTGGAATCTTTCATCTGGCTGTTCATGGTTGGTGGAGGGTACCGTAAAGGCAAACCTTTTTCTGTCTTTGGGATGTAGCGGTATGGAGAAGAAACAATCCTTAATATCTAAGGCATAAATAGGCCAATCCTTAGGTAAGGCAGAGAACAAAGGGAGCCCCCTCTGAATAGCTCCCATGATTTGCATTTGTGCATTAACTGCTCTAAGGTCATGTAATAATCTCCATTTTCCTGATTTTTTCTTTATTACAAAAATAGGAGTATTCCACGAAGAGGTGGAAGGTTCAATATGGCCTAATAATAATTGTTCCTCCACTAATTCTTTGGCTGCTAGTAGTTTTTCCTGTGACAGGGGCCACTGAGGCACCCACACAGCCCGTTTTGTGTTCCAAGGAATAGATAACATCTCCTCAGCGGCCCCTAGGAAAAACCCAATCCTTTTCTATCTAATTTCTGAACTGCTTCTATTGGTGAACTCCTACCCTGTAATCTAGTTCCAAGGCCTGCCCCGGGTGTAAATCCCTGAGCTTTCATCATTTCTTTACTGGCATCAGAATAATCATTGGTTAATATTAATTTCATTTGCTGCTGAATATCTCGTCCCCATAGATTGATGGGGAGATCAACAACAAAAGGTTTAAATTTTCCTTGCTGATCTTTTGTTCTCCACTGTAACTCTTTGGCACTTAGGGAAGGTGTTTGTGCGTAGCCCAGTCCTTGTAGCGTTTGAGAAGAAACTTGTAAGGGCCAATGTTTAGGCCAATCCTGATGCCTCATGACGCTCCGATCAGCTCCCGTATCCAGGAGACCCGAAAATTTCTTTCCTTCAATTTCCAACTGTATAATGGGCCTATCATTTAACTCCATGGAGAGACATGCTAAATCAACTCCAGTAGAGCCAAATCCCTTTTCATTTCGCTCTTGTGTTTTTGCAGGAAACTTATTATGCATTGATGGCAAAACTAACAATTGTGCTATTCTGTCTCCTGGGGCTATAGAAATGATATCAAAGGGAGCATGACATAATACCTTAATAATTCCCGTATAATCCGA